ATTCTCTCTCTCTCTCTCACACACACACACACACACACACACACACACACACACACACACACGGTGTCGATGTCATTCTCTTACCTACGGAGGCCAGGTTTCCCAGAGTTTCCTCCATCACATCTCTGTAGAGTTTCTGCTGAGCAGGATCCAGCAATGCCCACTCTTCCCGGCTAAAGACCACAGCCACAGCCTCAAGGAGCTCCCAGTCCTAAAACATCCCACACGGTCTGCATCAGCAAGGTGTCAGGCATGCTCCCCACACCCCGAGGGGACAAATAACGGAAATGTGGGGGAAGGGAGACAATGGACGATGTAAGATACAAAACAGCAATAGTAATACATAACTGATCAAGGGGTCATCAGGGTGGCAGGGTGGGGGAGATGAGGGAAAAAGAAGAGGTGATCCCAAGGGCTCAAGTTGAAAGAAAATGTTTTGGGAATGATGATGGCAACATATATGCAAGGGTGCTTGATACAAATGAATTATGGATTCTTATAAGATCTGTAAGAGGTCCCCAATATAAGGATTAATTTTTTAAAAAGTATCAGCTATCCTATGTGCACAGGAATAAAGTCTGAGGCCAACAGTCCTTGAGGATACTGAGAATTCACAGCATCTGAACAAGCCTCTGTCTTCTACCTGGGTCACCTGTGGAGTACAGCTGACAGCCTCATCTCTTCCCTACATTCACGTTCTGACGGAGACCCCACCTTGTCTCAGAGACTTCCAACACATGAAACCAACCTCTGACAGTTTGACTGATTACAATCGCTGTCTTACTTGTCTTTAGCATCTACCACAGTTTGAAAACGGAGGCAAAAGCCACCAGGTAGATCCTCACTTCCCATCAATGCCAATTTTCCCTCGCCCCTTGGTGCTTCCTGATGACCACACACTGGGGCCCCAAGGCCACCGGGCTCATACGATCTTCAAGTCTAAGGGATGAGGAGTTGACAGGGATCCATCTGATGAAAACAGTGCAATCTTTTGGAAATTTACATATTTCTATACATTCGTTCAGGAGTCCAGGTGGTGCAGTGTGACCGGTCAGGCTGAAATCCACAAGGTCAACAGTGAGAAACTGTGCGAGAACGAGGAGGCTTTCTGCCTCCATCCCGAGTCACAGGCTCAGAAACCCATCAGAGCAGCTCCGTGCTGCGCTACAGGTCTGCGATGAGCAGGAAGAGGAATCGATTTGATGGGGGTGTCGGTTTTGATTTGGTGTGTATGTGAGTGCCACGATTTCCTCACGCATTGTGTCTGGTTCGTTGACAGACAAATGCAGGGCAGCGAGAAAGCCCACAGTTGAGACAGGACACACTACAACAAGAGAGTCACATCAGCCCACCACGTCAAATGTCAAAAGCAACTGTCTGCCAATTAAACACCACCGCTCGCCTCAACAGGCATAAGCCCACACACCCTTCACAAGACCAGTCATGTCATCACATGACCAACGGCAGAAACAAGGACAGCGTGACAATCTTGAAACACCTGCCCCAGTGAGCGAGAAAGACGATGGTCTCTACTCCTGTAGAGATTTAAAGTCTTGGGGCAGGTGCGGGTGGGGGGGAGATTTAAAGTCTCAGACACTCTAGGGTTGGTATCAAAAAACCACAAGGAGGCACCTCTGAGTCACCTAGGAAAGGTGCACCCAGGCATCCAAATCTTAGAGCCACCTACGGAAAATCAAAGAACAAATCACAAAGAGCAGGAACGTAGGATTCCTCCTGGGGCTCCGGTCCTTGGCCCATTTTCTAAGCTCTCCCGTTATTGAGCAATCACATGCCCACAGCACCGGGTGGTCCCCTAAAAATGTCTATCAGTTCTCTCCCACGTTTAATACCAACATCCCTGCTGCCCACAGAACTCACCATTTTGTTGTTGCAGAATCTGGGGGTCGTGGGCAATCTTGTCTGTAAGCTCATGAGGCCACTTGAGAAAGAGGGGTGAGAGTAGGAGCAGAGCACTTCAGCAGAGGAAGGTGAACTGTTTGCTCCGCACACCAGTGAGAGGTGCAAATGCTTACAAAGGTTGTATGGATGTAAACGATGTCAAGCC